ATGTTTATGTCGAAACACGTAGTTTTACATAGTATATCAATTCCCTGGGCAATGATGATTACTGCCGGGATATCCTTAATCGTGGTCATTTCCTTGTCGAAGGTTGGACTCTTTCCGTTATTTGAAAGTATGTTGCATTTAAAAGATCCTTTTTGAGAGAGCGTTTTTATTTAGGTGATTAAAATTAATAACGGCGACCATTGAAACGTGCTGTTCATTCATTCCTTTCTCATTCCTATTTCATTTCTGTCTCCATTTTATCACTATCGATTTTACTTTTATTTGATTTAGAATTACCCTGGCAATACGTATTTTTTACCCAGGTTTTCTATCAAATTTCCTTATACTCGATAGCCATAATATTGAAAAGGTGTTTTGCCTTTGGCGAATTGGCGGTAGTCGCTCAGGCGGTGACATTGCTCGCCGTAGAATTATGGATCATCACCATCAATAAGGTTGGCCTGACGTTTTTATGGTTCCGTGTTCAAATTCTGATATTCAATGGCAATAACGTTTCTCCCGATCAATTATAGTTCGTCTTGATGAAGAACTTGCATTTTCGCAAACATTCACCGAGCGAGATCACGACATTTCAATTAGCTTTAATCCTGGGAATGTTAATGATAGGAATCGTTTTGTCACCAATATTTATTCGTTCGCGTCAGTTAGCTCAACAACCAAAATGGAAAAACAAGCGTGTACACGTGCGCGCATCTAATAATGGTAGGAAGTGGACGGCTTTGGCCATTTACAGTGGCACTGCCTTGATTGTTGGCTTCATTGGGCATTGGATGAATCTTTATTTGCCAATAAATCCTTATCTATGGTAGGTTTTCCATTAAAGGATTCTTATATTCTACCAGCTCTAACATAATTCATCTGTGGAAAAAATGATCTTTTGATGTTAGGATATTAGATTACGTCATCGAATCCCCTGCAAGGATCATGCTTTGCATATATTGGGTGATAACGATAGCACTTTCACTTTCTCTGTTCGCTAGATACGCGTTCGCAAGAAGGATCTGTTCGTTAAATATCAAACGAAAAATTTTTCATTTTCTGGCCGTATTTCTGTTTGTACCGGGATATCTGTTGGAGGTTTGCATTCTTTCATGGATTAGGAGGAATCAAGCTTCCATCGTCAAGAGACTCACTCTTATTAATCAATTGAATTAACTGCACGGCATTTTGCAGCCCGATTTTATGCATCTATCATTTAGCGTTGCATTCGCTACACTAATCTATTTGGAGTATCTACGATATTTTGCAGTATACCCTTTGGGGAAGGAACTTCACATCTTTCTATGTGAATTCTTGGACAGTCGTGATGCCGGACCTTGTATTGTGAGCCACATATACTTATTGGTTGGATGTGCTGCATGTGTGTGGATGCAAGGGTAATTTGGCATGCGTTGTCGAGTTTATTCGCATTTACGAGATTTTGAAGGTATCCCTTGATTTCAATCAATTGTAGAAATTCGATGTTGGCTAATTTATCCGGGATTCTTACCCTTGGAATTGGAGATGCCATGGTATTAAACCTCGACCTTTCATTGGCAATCTCTTTCATATTATAATGCGATGATGTGTCTCTCATAGGCATCCATAATCGGAAAACGCTATGGTCGACGTCGTTGGCCTGGTACCTCCAAGACTGTTGAAGGATCAATTGCTTTCGTACTATTTCAATTATTTGGTGCATACACGATTACTCGAATCTACCCAACAAGTCGTATGTGGATAGGCAATGTAAAGGTACCTGTTATGAATCTACATCTGGTGAAGAAATAAGAAACCAGACGATGCTTTGTTCAAAGTGTTAACGGGTGAAATTATTTTTAGTGGGTTGGATACTCTTTTGCATTATCAGCAACTGGTAAGCATTTATCTTTTAACTTTGGAACATGATGTTTTTCTCATAAGGGTTCTCTTTGAAAATAGCTTTGCTGGAAGCAGTGTCATATCAAAACGATAATCTCATAATTCCATTATACATGTGGGCATTAGTGTGCCTTTCGACGTGATTTTGTCAATGACAAGAAAAAAAACAAAAAATCAATCTCATTAATAAACCAATTGTGAATACACTCAATGTAAAATATTTATTGGGATCAATAATAAACATAAAGTTTTTTGATCTGCGCTCTGTATCTCGAGGAAATTTCGTGCGTCTAATCTTATATTGCTTTATGGAAATTGGTCTAATAGTTTATTTTTCTAGCGAGATAATTGATTACAACAATGGTACATACGTTTTATCATTTATTGACACATGCTCTTTCATTAGAAATTGAAATAATTTCTTTAATTTACTTATTCTTGTTATGATAATACTTCGAACCGTATGCGAGTCTACAAGCGTATTTGAACTCGATTCTTGGGACCCTAGTATTGAGCTAAATTTTCTAATACCAATTCGATTTTTTTTTTTTTAGTTAGCTCGATTTTATTTATTAGTTTTGATAAAGTAATGTGTGAAGTGAACTGTGAAAATTATGTATTTTAATTATTATATATTAATATGTTTTTGAAATAGTATTTTATTATTATTATTATTATTATTATTTTATTCCTTGTTAAGTCAGTTATATATAATATGCTTTATTGAACATTTGTAAACTATACAGTATATAGTTTATCATTAAAGCTAATCCTCTAATTAACTTACTCATCTTAGTTTAAAAACTTTAAATACAATTTTGAAAATAATTTTTTAATCTATTTTGTAATACCCTTCTAATTATTAATATTACTACTTACAGATTACTATTGCAAATAATATTTGCGTTTTAAAAAAAGTTAAAATCGAGCTATTTTATTTTTTTAATTTCCAATCATATTATTATAATATATTGTATCTTTATTAAAGCATTAAATAAATATTTATAATAATACAGTATATAGACTATTAATATAATTATTATATATTATTAATAAAGAATTATATTATTTTAAAATATATATAGTTTATTAAGTTAGTTTGAATTATTGTAAATAAAACAAAGTTTAGAAAAAAAACTCTTTTTGTTGATTCCCAGCTTTTTTAAAAAAAATTTTTTTTAATAATTTTTTTGAAAAACAAAACAA